GTTTGCTTAACAACCATGTGGTTTGCTTAACAACCATGTGGTTTGCTTAACAACCATGTGGTTTGCTTAACAACCAGGGCAAAAAGTTTGTAAAATCAGGCGCACCTCGTTTAACAATGGCATCACTTAGCAACAGAGGTTCTGGTCTTCATAATGGCCATAACCTTAACCTATGTAGTTTTAATGTTTTAATTATTTTTGTTTTATAACTTGTAAGCTGCCCAGAGTCAGCTTATGGGAGAGAAGTACGACATAACATTTAATGAAATAAATAAGTCGAGGACTACCTGTATCTATTTGTTTTCAGAGCCTGAACAGTCCACTTTTTCAAATCTTTCCGTTTCGGTTCAGAGGATTTTTTGTTTTTTTGCGATTTCCAAAAAAACGCCCTTCTTGAGAACTCCCCCCTCAGCCTTATCCACTGGGTTCTTCACTACAACGTTCATAGCTACAAACCACTGTTTATATACCCCAGGAGGAAGACTACCATGTGTAAGTAATTTTTTTGCTTTCACATCCTCTTTGTCCTGCATCGCTTGTCTTCAAGCTTTTCCTAAATTGGAACTCCAGAGGGTTCCTCTTTTCTAAAGAGCTTCGCTCTTCTAAAGAAAAGGGGAGTGTGCCCATGTGTTCTTAGATTGGAGATGAAGCCTCTCTGAATCCCAATCTCTCATTGAAACGTGTACTTGCATATTAGTGAAAAATAAGCTAGTCTTTGATCCAGAAATCCTGGTTTTCTATAGAGTTATTTGTTTAATTTGAAGAGAGGAACATTTAGTCACGCCAGCTACCATCTGCAGTGTAAAAAAACCGACAATCCAGAAACTTATCTATTGGTTTTGAAAATGATGTATCTGATGCAACTGTAGCTTCCACGCTGATATTTGGGGTTTATTCTTTTCCTGAGTTAGACTAGCTATACGAAACCTTGGTTATCCAACTATGACATGGGGAGACTGTAAGCAAGCCACTAGAGTTACTCCTAAAATCTCTTTCCAGTTCAGTCAGTTTAGATCCCATCCTAGCCGTTTAAAACAGGAGCTCAGAGAATTGGTTGAAAGCAGCTTCAAACAGGCCTACTGCAGCAATTTAGGGGCAGAATGGCCTCCTAAAATTAGAAAAATTGAGAAAAGTCTGGGACATCCTAACACTTCCTGTGATTGATTCACAGAAATAGTTACATGTAGCTCAGAAGAACCATAGAGTCAACACTGCACACAAATGTAAATCATGTGCTCAAGACAGAATCCGTATTTCCAAAGGATCATACACTGTATGTCCTATCTTCATCACCTATCAAGCGTAGAAGAGAATCACCCATAATGGAGATCTATCTATTTATGGAAGCTCCCCTGGCATTTCAAACCTCGTTTCCCAGGTTCAGAATTGCATGGAGAACTTCCACAGATCTTGGCCCCTGCTGTAGAAAGTCCCCTCTAAATAAAGTAGGGGAAGGAGAACAGTATCCAAAGGAAGACAGAGCAATGCTCATCTCTGCACTCTCCATTCTTATATTTTAGGAGATGAGTTAGGTCTAAAGAAAAGTATAACATCTTATTCCATTTTACTCTAGTTCCATTTATCTTCCATAGAAGAGGCCATACAAGAATCCTGAGCCCCTCCCACAAAGTTTGACTTTTGACCTTTGCAGAAATAGAGCCAAGCTTTTAGAGACATCATAAAAGTTACAGCATTTTGTTCATGTGAAATAAACATCTGAACAACGAGGTCCCAAAATGTACCCATTTTAAATCCAAGTTGAGAATCTTATTTGAAGTATATGGCCAGCGGATATTTTTGACAGAATACCAAATCACTTTTAAGCTGGCTCCTTACACAAAATGTCTAGTTTTCCACATTTTCATTATATTGGTTGCAGGGATCAGAAAGAGGATCATCCCTTATTAGCAGGACTCACCGTCTGGTCAGTTAGTGGAGGAAGTACAATTGTCTTCTCCATTGTATTCATGACAAGCTTCCAGAGTTCCTTCAGCACTCGTTTCAGGACAGTCTTCTCGCAAATTTTGGCAAAGAGAGTCAAGCTAGGATGAAAAAAAGGTTAATGCAACAAAGAAGAGGATGAGCATTTTTAAGGATAACAGCTAAACGAATGTGACAGTCCCCAATACTTACGGAATAGGATGCACAAATTTGGGCCCAAGTATCATATGTGCTGCTTGGAGAGGGGTGATCAAGAAAATGCCTATTTATGTGCATGCATTGACATGGATAAAATTTCCCCAAGCGTCTTCTCGATCCTAGAAATCACACGGCAGTTGAGATTGCTAGGACGGGAGTTGAAGCCCCCCATGTCCCCTTCTCTACTGATTTAGACTGCAAAGTCCAAGCAGTCATAGATGGCAGCAAAGAGATATAGGAAATGTCACTCTTTGTGATGATCTAATGTCCCCTGGATTTTTATTTTGCAGGTATGGAAACTTTTGCCTGTCAGGGTTCCAATTAATAGAGCCTTTGCAAGCAAAAACTCCGAGACAGGTAGATTCCTCAAAGAATAGCTTTATTGGAAATATCATGCTGACACATATCTGGTGAAAACGGACTCTGAAAGGCCCTTGGTTTTCACCTACTGTATTTTTTGGAGTATAAGACACACCTTTTTCTGCCCAAAAGGAGGGTGGAAATCTGGGTGCGTCTTATACACTGAAAACAGCATTTTTGGCCTCCCGAAACCCCGCCCCGTACATCTAGTTTTTCACAAAAATGGACACGCAGTGGTTGTAAGTCAAGGTTTACCTGTACAAAGCCCAGACCACAAAAAAGGCTCCTATCATTGCTGGACCAAATCCCACTATGGAGGTGCTTTTAAGTTTCTTTTAATTGAATTTTCTCCCTGCATAGATAATTACAAACATAACCTGCCTAGGAAACCAACACTGAGTAAGCAGACTGCATCTAACCTTCGAACATTATACTCAGCCGCCAACTTATACATTAACAACTTGTCTGAGTAAAAATCCTTCTGACTGTTACTAAAAGACTAATAGAGAGTTAATCGTTATTTTTAATAAAGCTCAGGAATCTGAATAATGAAGGGAAAAAAATACACAGGATCAAAAGTAATTGAAAGCATTTTAAAAAATGAAATAGAAATGCAACAAATAAATACCTGAAACTTGGTAGCTAAGATTTCTACCTTACACCCCCTGGGTCTGCACTCACTTGCTATCCAGGAGGTCCATAATAGGCTGCAAGACGTTGTCAGCATCTTGAGCCACGCTGCTGCAGGCACTGGCAGGCACGTTCCCGGTGCCTTTCACTTGGCTCAGGATGTCTCCCATCTGCTTCACACAGTCCTCTATATGGGGCTGAAAACTGGAGAGAAACAGAAGGGCTCACCTGATGTTCTACTGAAGGAGAGAGCAAGAGCAGCCTTCCTTAACCTGGCACCGTGCTCAGATGTTCCCTTGGCAACTCCCACAATTTCTGGCTGGGAACTCTAGGCTCAATAGAGCTGGAAGATGCGAAATTGAGGAAGGCTGGGCCAGAAGTCTTGAACTAATGTCATAAGCCTTGTGCTTTCATTGGTTAATGGGCCAATAACCAGTTTGCCATCCCCAGCCCATTGTATACATCCAATATCAAGTATTCTGCAGGGAAATGACCTCAAGTTAACATCCCATTGTCTTCCAAACTAGTCCTACCTGGTTGCAAATACTCGGCTTAGTTCATCCAAGACATTGTTGAGTTTCACCTGAAGTTCCTTGAGGATATCACTGGCTTCTGTGTCCAACTGAGAGGACAGAAAATAACAATAATTGTGAGCAAAAACCAAAATCACACTGTTTAAATAATAGGAACCAGTTTCCAGAATTTATCTCAAACTAGCTGATAACCCAGCGCTGCCTGGGTATTTATTTATCCCAACCCTGCTTCCATGAACGTTGCCGCAATTTCCAAATTTGGATTTTCCCTCTTACCAGAGAGACCCCCTTGTGGAGTACAGTGAAGCCATTACCATGGCAACTCTGCAGTGCTGTACAGTAGAAGCCATTTTACGGCAGTATGGTAGAAACTGTTTTAAGGCACAACAGGCTATATCTTGTCTTACCCCCACTGTATTTGTTTTCAGAGAGTAAGTAATCTGTGTACCAAGTTTGGTTGAAATTGCTTGAGGCGTTCCAGAGTATGCTGGAAGATTCACACACACACAGCCATATGTGTGTGTTTGTGTGTATGTGTGTGTTGTGTGTGTATGTGTATATGTATATGTATATATAGATGGAGTAGTATGCATGCATGTACGTTTGTATGTATTTGTATATGCTTAGTTATTTATTTACAGGGGCTTAAATGCTCCACCCCCAGTCTAAAGAGACACCAATGTAAGTCTGTTATACTATATTTAGCTGACAAAGGCAAAAAAAAATCAGTTTAGGGATTGGCTAAATTGATATGATGTCACAGAATGTTTGGTTGTTCAGAGTATTAATGATATTGTCAATTTAGCTTGAATTAAACCAATTTCAAACTGATTCAAAATTTGTACTTTAAAATAACTTTTGTCAATTAAAAGGAAAAAAAAGAGGCTTCTCATGAATTTCCCACCTGCTACCAGTTTGAGAAGCCTCTCCCCCTCCCAAAAGGAAATCAAAGAATCCAGAATTGATTTAGGGATCAAAAATCTTTTGAATTCATAGTTTCGGGCATGTCAGGCTGGGCATCAACACCTACCTTAATAAAATAGAAGAATAGCCTTTCCCTTATTGATGAGAAATCAAATCTACCCTCCAATGGATGAGTGGAGAAAAGACCTTGCAGAACAGCAGAGATGATGCCTGCAAGAAGTAACTAAGACCTCACATGTCTCTCTGTGCCTGTCTGGTTCACTTCCAACCCAGTTGTCCAAGATAGTTGAAAAATGCAAACCTCTTTCCCTCCCATAGCTTCAAACATCTTCTCTAGCTGGACACGCAACTGCTGTATGTTGTTCATCAGGATACAGGGCTGGAACAGAAGAATCACATATAGACAAACACATTTCAAGGCTGTTCTATCTCTGATCAACACACATATGAACACTGGGGTCGACATGGACATCAATTGTGATATGAAATGAAGCAACTCTTGCCCTGGAGGAACAGGACCAGATTCAGGTTAGATTTCTGGAGGAACTTCAGAAATGGTAAGAATGATCAAGCAATGGTGAAATGGTGTGTTCCCTTTGTGGAAGGTCTCCATACTGAGGCTGACATCTGACAAATTGACATGAGCTTAAAGTGGTTTAAACTGACATGAGCTTAAAGTTTTCCATTGTCATCTTCCAAACGTTTGGCAAACTCCCCAGTTTAATGTACAACTCTGGAATGTCCTTGTATTATACAGTCGTGGTGGCACAGTGTAGGCTACTTCTGCTGACTGCCGGCTCCCAGAGTTCAGTAGTTCAAATCCCACCAGACTCAAGGTTGACTCAGGTTTCCATCGTTCCAAGGTGGGTAAAATGGGGACCCTGATTGTTGGGGGCAACAGGCTGACTCTGTAAACCGCTCAAAGAGGGCTGCAAAGCACTGTAAAGTGGTATATAAGTCTGAAGTGCTATTGCTCTCTGACTTTAGCAGATTCTGCACCAAAGAGAAGCTTGGAGTAGATTACGTGTGAGGTCCTCCCAATTCTGTGATTCTAGGGTCTTCCAGTTTCAGGCAGGGCAATGTTGCTTAACTCATTTTTTTATTAAACCAATATTGTTGGTCCATCCTCCTCAGTTCTATTAAACCAATATTAAGGGAGACTGCAAGGTAAAGCTCTGAAATAAAAGCATTCTCTCTGAAGTTGGTATTCTCCAGATGCATCGGACTTCCAGCAAAGAAAACTAGAAAAACAATAAAGAGAATATGTGTAGCCCAGGGTTGAAATGAAGAATCCAGGTGCTCTCTGAGCTTGGTCGTTTTCTTGCAGATGGTTCATTACCCCAACTAGGTAACATCATCAGTTACCTGGTTTGGGTAATAAAACATCTGCAAGAAAATTACCAAGCTCAGAGAGCAACAAGGACCCCTCAGAGCTGGAAAAGCCAAGTATCCCTATTGATGTTCACCTCCTATACAACTTCTGTGAAAACAGAAGAAGAGTCGTGAAGGCTATCTTAATCCATTCCCTATTTGCTGCAGGGATCTCACAACACCCATATCCCTGTTTCCTGCCTTTGTTTAAATATTTCCAAGGAACAATTCATTTTCTAAGGCAATCTGTTTAGTTTCTCAACAGCTTTTGCTCTGCAAAAAACTTCTCCATAACTTTCACCCAGCATCTACTTCTGTGCAATTTCTATACATTGCTCAAGGAGGATGATTCCCATATTTAGGAACATTCACAAATGGACATGCAGAACAGAGGTGGTATTCAGCCAGTTCTGGAGAACTGGTAGCGGAAATATTGAGTAGTTCAGAGAACCAGCAAATAGGCCGCCCCCGCCCCTGCTGCCTCCCAGGGTCCCAGCTGATCTTCTTTTGTTGCCCTGAACAGGAGAACGGAGCTGAAAGCAGGCTAGTGGGGTGGGGAGGGAATGGGGATTTTTCCAGTATCCTTCCCCTGCCATGGCCACCAAGTCACGCCCACAGAACTGGTAGTAAAAAGTTTTGAATCCCACCACTGATGCAGAACCTCCAATATTTGAAAGCTACCAAGAGATGTCTCCAGTCATGAAGCTAAACCTACAAAGCTCCTTCAACTGTGAGTCACAAGCTCTGGTTTCCAAACTCTCTAGTGTTTGGTTTCTAGACCCTCTAGTCTAGAATGTCGTGTTTCCTGTTCACCTCCCTCTAATCACAGTACAGTTTTGTCAACATCCTTCTTACGATGCAGCATCCAGAACTGAGTGTAGCATTCTACTTCACCACAGAATGCAATGGTTGTTATTTTTTGTGATTTGAATACTATGTTTCTGTTCTGAGATGATACTGTGCTCACTTTCTAACACATACAGCAGTGATAGCTAACCTTTTTCTAAAGGTGTGCCAAAATTGTGTGTACGTGCGTGCCCACCCACCTGCGCATGTGTGCATAATCCCCTACCTATCCGCGCGTGCACAATTCCCCTGTCCATGCGTGTGCGCGCCTCCCACTGGGGAGGAGGGAGGAGTTTTTACAGTCCCCAGGCTCCGGAGGCTTTTCTGAAGCCTGGGGAGAGCGAAAATGGCTTTCCCTGGCCCTCCGAAAGGCCGAAAATCAGTTGGCTGGTACACGTATGCGTGCCAGAGTTGAGGGCTGCCATGCTGGCAACTATGGAGCCTATGAACCATAGGTTTGCCATCACGGACATACAGGATATGAAAATAGAATCCATTTTAATGTACCGTATATACTCAAGTATAAGCCGAGTTTTTCAGCCCACTTTTTGGGCTGAAAAAAGCCGCCTCGGCTTATACTCGAGTCATAGAACTCCCAGTCCCATCCCCTCCGCCCGCCCCCGCCAGCGCAGCCCCTGCCGCATCAGCTGGAATCTAATTCAAGAGATCTTAATCTTGACAGCGTTGTTGGGATCTGCGGGT